ATAATAGTATATTATTCAACGAGCGTATAATGATGGGTATTATTCACGAGGTGAAGTTTACGGCCACGAGCCGCAGGCGAGTGGCCTAAATCACCGAGTGAATAATACCCATTATACGGGAGTAGAATACTATACTTTATCCACGACTACTAAATATTTTTGTTGAAGTTTTTTTTGAAATGTTTCGAAAAACATGGTATGTTAAGAAACAGATATACGACTCGCACAAATGAAGTCGCTGATGGCTCAGTGTAGATGCTCTTTCCCTTCCAACCGCGGGTCCCGGGTTCGAATCCGGTCTAGGAAAATTCACTTTTTTAATTTTTTTTTTATATGTACAGCACTGAATTGAAAATATTTAGTGGTTTACACGATAAAATTTTAAAAACGGATTGTTTGTAGCAGAACAATATAATATTATAGCTAAATTAAGGAAGCATCTGACAGTAGTGATTAATGACTCATTAATCACTGCCGTGATTAATGGGTATTATTAAGGTCGAGCAAACAGACGTATAATGGGTACATTATACAATAGTCGTGGATAAAAGATTTTTTTGCTTACAAAATTACACCTTCATTTTGTTTTGTATGTCACTGATATTTTTAATGGTGGATAATTCTCATTACTACTTACCAGTAATGGCACCTGGGGTGCTACCATTGATCCTAACCGGCCGAACATGGAACAAATAGAAAAAGTGGTATGTCTGGAATTCGTGGGGAACATCTCTGTAGTGTAGACGTATAGGACTGTGTACCCAATTGTTGAACAGCATTTTCCAATTAGGAATGCGCATAATTTAAACCAGTAGTAATCTGGAAAGTGAAACAGAAACTGTTTACAATGTACAGTAGGTTTAGTTGCACAAAGATGTGTATGAAATATCTACAAAGCAACATATTTACTTCCAGAGGATTGTTGTTATTACATTTATCTAGGCAGATAAGACAATTAATACGTAAAATGAAAATAGACTAGCAGATGACGTCGTTATATCATATAGGCTAGGTTGAAAACTCTAATAACAATATCGTGAGGTGTTTTGCATTAGGTATATCTCCTATCGGGCACCAATAACAGTTTGTAGTACGATTTATATATGACAGACTTCACTTCATCACGAAAATTACTAAATATTTACTAATTAATTTGTTCTACTCAAGATTTTACAAAATTATTATGGTGAATTTCCAGCCTGGTTGCCATGTCATCACCCAACACAAAGATGAAAATTTAGTAGACTTGGCTAAAGTGTGCACTTCATGAACCTTCTTCTTCCTTGGGAAATAAATTAAAGGAGCTTTGGTAAATGTCTACATGAAAGCCTTCGAGAGGAAAGGTCTGGAATCAGCAACTATAAACCAGTTCAGTTATGCTGACGGTAGATTTACTATTTGGCCTCATGGATATAACAACAGAGAAAGATTCATAAAAAATAAAAGTATACACTTGGACATCAGCTTCATAATGGATATGGAAGAAAATGGCACTTTGCTGTTCCTTAAAGTCCTTGTTAAGAGAAAGCCAGATGGACCCTAGATCAAAGTGTACACAGAAACCAGCTCACATGGATATACAGGCAGATCCATTAACGGCATCGAGCGGCTGTATATATGAAACTAGACGTGCTACGATTGGGGTAAAAAAAATCTATTAACAAATACGACCAAAAGAAATTATATTAAAATATTTTCAAGTTTGTAACTTCACCGCTAGGGGGCGCAACTGCTATACTGTTACAGAAAATTGTCGGTTTTTCGAAATTTCGCTTATATAACCTAAGTTGCAAATACATTTTTTAGATACACTGTTAAACCCTTCACAGGTTTTGGGTGAACTTTTTTTTGTTATTACCATAGCAACGTCAGTATGAAGGACGCTATCTTGAAATTTTTAAATTGTCATAACTTCTAAATGCCTTAATCGATTTCAATAAACGATGGCTTATTTTAAAGAACTATTAATAAATTTATTTTTATGATATAGGAATGAAAATATTATTTTCCTGCGCAACGGTAGACGACGCTAATGAGAAAAGTTTTGTAATTGTCTCTGTTTACTAACAAAATTAAATGCAACGATATAGTTTTTTTTTCATGGCTTGATAAACCATTCATTATGGAAAACAAATTCACAAACCGGAGGTCGATATCTTTTTTCGTTTTCAAGTTATTGCTAAAATAGTGAGGTTGTGCTAGAACATTCTCCAAAATTAAATTGTAAAACTATTATACCAATCTTTTCCTTAAAAAGAATTATGGCTTTATTTTGAAATTTTTTTGATAATTGCAATATTTCATTTTTTTATTAATTCTAAATATCTGAGTAGTTATAAAGATTATTGTTTCTATAACAAGGCAGGCTATGCCCGATGAAAATAGGCAATTGAAAAATTATGTCTTTAGGCCAAATTAAATTGGTATCGTCGATCAGCGGCAGGTCTTCCAATTTGTTTTCTATTTGATTTTCAAGAAAATGCAGGTACCTTTCCCCAGTCAAAGCATCTTCATAAAATAGTGGGCCGATGATTTTATTTCTCAATATACGTACCGCAACACACATTAACCGATGTGCGTCTTTGACTTGGAATTTCCCTATTACAGCCTCATCAGTCCATAAAATCTTTTCAAAATAGTTTAGGTCGCCATTTTTCAAGCGCAGCATTTCTCTGGAGTACTCTAATCGCTGCAATTTTTTATTTTGGATGATTTTTTGGACCGGCAAAGTTTTATAGGGGCGGTATTTATATTTATGTAACGTTCTAATAATTTTACTTTGGCTTATTTCTAACTGTCTTGAAGCATTTACTGTGTACTCTTGTAGCTTTTCTACAATAATTTAATATTTGAATTTACCATGGTAAACCTCGAATGAATATTTGCTTACCTTGAAAATATAGTAATATAGTTAGTTCTAATTCTTCATTTGGAATAATTCTTCGTTTCTGTCTTCCAAGAGATTTTGTTTCTCTAAAGCGTCGCTCAATGTCGTAAAATGCAGCTCGAGATGGAATTGGAAACCCGAGATGCAAACGAGCATACTCGTATTCACATTATTATTATTCTTGTAACATAAACGGATAACTTTTTCGTTCTCACTAAACATTATTTCTTTGTTAAAATACTTTGTCATAAGAAATAAATTAATGATGATAAATAAACTTCTGTCAAAGTTGTTTCTTCCGCTTGCGTCGTCCATAGCCACTGCGATTCGTCAGACATAAACCTTCTTGTTTTTTCAAAAATAGTTTTAAACTGGAATGTCGAAAAGTCCTGAATTAAACAGTAACATATTATATATTTTTGAAAAGAAAAAAATTTAACGAAACTAAGTATGCACTAATATATATGGTGTTCCATTTAAAAACATATTTTTTTCTTTAATTTAGTGATTCTCATGATTCAATTGTTTTTTCTAATACTGTATTATAAAAATTCATAAAAAAGATAAAACTTTTGTATTAAAAACTTTTTCGTAATTTCAATAATAAATTCACAATAAGTTGTCAGATTATAGTGACTAACCATGTATACCTGTGTCTGAATTGAGTTATAGAAGCGTTAATATAATAGTACATTATACTATAAGGGAGAGAAATGCGTTATTTTGGCAGATGTGCAATTTGAAGCCCGAGAGCGAAGCCCGAGGGCTACAATGCACCGAGGACAAAATAGCATCTCTCCCGAATGGTATATACTATTTTTTCCACGGTCTCATTAACTTAAAAACACTTATTTTGTCATTATGAAGTACGTATTTGAGCATTTATTTAATAGTCGTTGAGATATTGTCATAACTACAAAATAAACAAACAAAAAGAATTGTCAAATTAAGGTGCTAGTTTGGTTTAGTTTAATGTTTGTTTAGTACACAATGAATAATTGTGAGTCGGAAGAGATTGTGGAGGCTGCAAATATTGCAATAAGCAATTTGCTGCCTACGAAGTCAAGATCTTTATACGATATAGCCTACAATCGGTTCAAAAAGTGGTGCGCCGAGAAAAATGTTCAAGTATACAGCGAGAATGTTTTGTTGGCATACTTCAGTGAAAATGCAAAGAATTACAAGTCTTCCACATTATGGGCGCAATATTCTATGGTTAAGTCATGCTTGATAATTTACGACAACATAGATATAAGCAAATTCACCAAGCTAATTGCAATTTTGAAAAGAACCGGTGACGGATATCAAGCGAAAAAATCGAAAATATTGACAAAGGGTGAAATCGACCGTTTTCTATCAAGTGCAGATGACAAAGAATTCTTAATGATTTAATGATTTTTTATAGGTTGGATTAATTCTGGGGATTGCCGGAGCTTGTCGAACTGATGAACTAGTCAATTTAACTGTAGATGATATTGAGGATGTAGGCTCTTCCTTCATTGTAAAAATTCCAAACACTAAGACAAAAGATTCCACGAACCTTTGTGGTTACCGATGTGGGAAATATGCTTGAAATGTTTCGAAAATACCTGTCCCTTCGTCCTCCCCACGTCAAGCATAAGCGCCTTTTTTTGTACTACAAAGCAGGAAAATGTAGTTCGCAGCCAGTTGGCAAGAATACCATGGGAAAAATTCCGAGTGTAGTAGCTTCGTATTTAAAATTACCTGATGCTGCATGTTATACTGGTCACTGCTTACGAAGATCTTCAGCGACATTACTGGCAGATGCTGGTGTGGATATCACGACAGTCGCTGAGGGTTATGTCGAGAACTCCATTGAAAATAATAAAATTGCTAATCAGGTTTTAGTAGGTACCACTACTAGCGCAATCACAAAAACTGTAAATGTAAGCGAAAGTAATATTCCTTCTAATATTAATTTTGAAAATTGTACAAATGTAACATTTAATTTAAATGTCAATAAATAATTTCAATGTTATCTTTTTTTTGCATGAAAAACGTTCTCCATAATGTAAACTCCCTTGGGAGCATTATACTCTCTTGGGAATAATCGACTACTTCTGTTTTAATTTTGATGTCATAGAAACTGATTTCTACTCCCGACCGTGGAAGAAAACTATTTTTTGTATCAAGCTCCCACTTGCCAAAAACGATACAATCGAATCGTTTCCACGACAACCAGTAGCTAGAATACGTTTGTAATCTTTTTAGTAGTAGGTTGTTCAACTAAAAATGATAACGGCTGGGTACATATTCTACAAATTTTCATTAATTGTATTTGTCTGAGAATAGTAGGTAGGTACCCGCTTATTCAACCTTTTAAATTTCGAAGCTGTTCTGTTAACTGTAGACACACTTTTTTGTTTAATTTACCTACAATCAAAATCATAGTAGTTGGTGCGAATTTACATCATAATTTTAAATTCAGTAGATAGGTGCTTTCTGTGAAGAATAAGTTCAACAAAAGTTACAGTTTATTTTATTTTTACAATATGCTGTTTTACGCCAGTTTCAAGGATCAAATTGTCACATTGACTTTACACATTATTGTAGCTAGTTAATTTCAGAAGCAGACGTGCAAAACCAAATCTAAAAGAATTAACAAACCAATAACTGAAATGAATTAATTTTAGGGGATAAAACAAAGGTAATACATTGAATTAGAAACTAATAAAGAAACCAAATGAATATTAAGATGGAACATTGCTAAATCTGTCCCCCGTTATTGTTCTGAACTCTTTTCCTCTACTTTTATTTCGCTAATGAGCACAACTTGAGACATCTTAATCCCTACTTATCTTTCACAAGTTCAATGCCCCGCAATCCAAACTATACAATCCTCGACTCCATTGTGTAGTCGTCGTGAAAGAACTGCTTTTAATTAAGTTAAACACCATCGTTCCTCATCTTCTCGCATAAGCAGAATGACGTTTACAAATTTAAGACGTAATTAAAATCTTATACAAACCTTCTGGGATAAACCCCACCGCCACACAAGAGATGCCGGCTAATATCAGAGTAAAAAACATCATTAATCTCCTTCCGATCTTCTCGTTTGCGTAGAAATAAATGACGTACCCGGGTATCTCCACCACCGTGGCGAAAATGAAACTGAGATAAACATTGTCCGATATGGCCACCGAGTGTAGAGTCAACCCGTAGTATACAAAAGTACAGCAGATCCAAGTGAAGGAACAGTGAACGGTCCTAATCAATAGTCTAGTTGATTTCACTGATTCGAGGAAGGATTCACCTCTTATCGATTCTTCTTGTTCCATTTTCCTGAAACGCATCAACTTTTCAAGAGTTTCAGGGGGTATCTGTTTCTTATTTGCTCTGGCTATTTCTAACATAACATCCTTAGCCTCTTTTGTCATATTCATGGATAATAGCCACCTTATCGATTCTGGGATTGTCCAAAAAAACACAAGGGATAGTATCCCTGGAGCATAAATGATTCTGAGCATCGTTCGCCAGGAAAGTGTTAACCAAGCTGTTATGCCCAGTACGGCCTGACCTAAGGCATATATACAGCTTATGATAGTGTTGCCGACGTTCCTTTCCTTGGATCCCACGATTTCCATAGCTGAAGATAGGATAAAAATATTTTATAAGCAAAAGGAACGAGATGAAATATTCACCTAGAATGAAAGCTGCTCCATACATTCCTCCTCCTAACGCAGTATCTAGGAACTCTAAAGAGGCGTAGGTAAAATAGTTGGGGGAGAATGATCTTAAAATTCCTACAGCCGTGCTTAGTAGAACGCTTACTATCATTACTTCCTTCCGGCCATATCTGAAAGAACTTTTTTCGAAACAAAACAGAAAGCTCATGTATGTTAAAGTTATTTTAATAGGTAGGTTTTTTCTTTCAGTCAAGGCAGCAATGTGCGTACGTTGGTTAGTTTATTAAATTTAAATCAATTATTCTGCATCAAACAATATTAATTTTGTTTGAGAGTGTGTGGAATTTATATTAATTATTGATAGAGTATATATGCACGCATTATCTATGTGAATTATTTAGATAACATACACGGTGAATATACTTATCCTCGAAAATAGTTATCATTATTGTAAATATAGATTTATTATAGAAAATTAATGACTTTATTGACTCAAATAAAATAACATACGATGGTTTAATGAGTACCTACATATTATCATAATTGTAAAACTTTTATGAAATTTAAATTTTTATTATCAGCTTATAACTTGTTTTATTGAATTGAAATTGAATAAATTTATTTGAATTATGTTTCAATAAATTTTAATTTTAAATTAATGTATTTCTCATTATGATGAGATAAACTATAATTTGATTTTACATTATCAAATTAAATTATTTCAATTTGTCCTTTGTTTTATAGTATACTCAGCTAGCTAAAATATACTTATCTCTCAAATGCTCAAATTCTCCTGTCTCCAGGGGTCAGTTCTGTCGCAATATATTTAATAGCACATCATAGTCATATAAGCCAAAAATGAAATCCACCTAACTAATTATACCTGTATAGTTACTGTTAAATATTGTTCAAAATTATCAGTAAACAAATTCAATATTTCTTGGAGCCATAAAAACAATCATAACCAGTAATCCAAACTAACAATGTTTAATTAAACTATGAATCGATGCTCTAAATTAATTTTTTTTAACCAACCTTATACAATTCATATATTAACATTGACTAACATTGAAATATATTAAATCCATTGTATAAATTTGATTGTATAACGGGTTGTATATATCTGTTATACAGGGTGTCCGCAAATTTCACCGACTACGTTTGACGGCATATTCACGACGATAAATAAATACGATCTACGAAGGTTTTTGAGTTACAAGCCTTCAAAGTTGTCAAAAATAAAACTAATTTAAGTCGGTCGAGAGTGCGGTGGCAAGCATTTCTCGGCTAGGCTTCCTACTCTGGTCCGGGTTCGATCCCCGGTGTCGGCACTGGCAATGTCGATGGATAATGGGTGTTTGTCCGCGTTTTTTCAAGTGTAGCCCCCTTCCGCACAGCCTTTGGCTTTGGATTTGGGGGTTGTCTCATTTCTGTGGTGTGTTTTATGTTTTATGTTTTATGTTTTATGTTTTATGTTTTATGTTTTATGTTTTATGTTTTATGTTTATAACCCTTTTACCGATCACATTAAAATTTGGTACATTTATTTGAACCATTATTGGTCAGTGATCGTATTTTTGTAAAGTGGGCAGTAACATTAAAAAGGTCGTTTTATTAAAAAAAAAAAATATTGTCTTTTGAGGAAATCGCCTACAGAAAGCCATTCTTGAGAAAAATGGCATTATTTGCAGGTGTGTTTCGGTTTAAAACTTTAATATTTTGAATAAGCGATAAAAACAAGATGTTGATAGCTGTGGCTATCAAGTGTGATTGTATACGTGTTTCTTTAGGATTCTCATCACTCCACACATGCAAATTATGAAAATTTACAACTCCGTTTAATTGTCTTGATACACTGCGGACACTTCATAATTTGCATGTGTAGCGTGATGAGAAGCTTAAAGAGACACGACAATAATGACATTACCTTATAGCCACAGCAATCAACATTTTGTTTTCATCGCCTACTGAACTCAGTTTTAAATCCGTGACACTGCTACATAAACCGAAACGTACAGACCTGCATTTTTCTCAAAAATGTCTTTCTGTAGGCGATTTTCTCTAGACATAATATTTTTTTTTAAATAAAACGACCTTTTCAACGTTGCTGCCCGCTTTAAAAAAATACGACCAGTGTAACAGTTCTGACTGCTAAAAGGAAGAGGTAACGGGAGAAAACTATGACCCAGTATATCGATTTGACTAAAGTTTTAAAAAATATTACGCAATAATGCTCCAAATAAAAGTGCCAAATTTTAACGCGATCTGTAAAAGGACTATGAAGTTATTAATTAAATTAGTTTTATTTTTGACAGCTTTGAAGAGCTGCAACTCAAAAACCATAGTCTTTATTTAACTTTTTTTCGTAGATCGTATTTATTTATCGTTGTGAATATGCAGTCAAACGTTGTCGGTGAAATTTTCGGACACCCTGTATTTAGTCTACCTCAATTTGGCTCAGATCTGTCAATTCTTTAATTGTATTTGTAATTCTCTATTACTGAATTTATACAGCAGCTTTAATAAATGAAATACTTTTTTGTAAACCTTTGTTTAAACTTTTAGGTATCTGGGAACATGGTATCCACTTCTATTCATGAATTTCTTGTCATCAAACATCCAATTTCAGCAAACTTAGCCTCAGGAGGTCTTCTCTATGAATTTGATATTGTTTCCTTTATTACAATTCTAAATTCCACAATTTTGATTCCCTTACCTTTATTTTTTTTTGTAACTAATTTTTATTCCCTCGTTTATTTTGTTTTTCTCTTGACCCTAGCTATCTCTTAAGCTCCTTACACATCCCTTCATATTCTTAGAACGTTCTCTTGCTTTCTTTCACTTCACTTTACCGACTTTCACTTTCTTATCTACTATTTACAGTTTTTACATTCTAATGAGAGAATTGTTATTAATATTTTCCTGAATTATTGTTGTTTTTTTATTTAGATTACATTTTGTCATCCTAATATAGAATTTGTGTATCTACATTGACATTTATTAATTTTGAATTATGAAATTACATTGTGATTTAGGCTTCATTTTGTCTTTTCCAGGTTCCATTTTTGTTTTAAATTTAAATTAAGTGTTTTTATGATGTGTATCAATTTACTTTTAGTTTGCTTTAAAAACTAATTTACAATACCAAATTACATTTCATGGATTTAAATATCTCCATTTTATGCTGAAATTATGAAATTTTCTGTGAAATTTGTTTAATGTTTATATGAATTGTATTTTATGATATAATAAAATATTTGTATTTTATCTTGCTATTTTATAATAATAATAATAATTGTCATTTCTTCATTTTATTAATATTCATTGTTTTATAATTGGATTTGTGTTATATCTATCTTATTTATTTTATGTTCCTATTTGATCCATCTCAATATACAGGGTGGTCCCTATGTAATTGTACATAGAAGTATGATAGATTTGTAACTTTAAAATATTACGATTTGAGCCAACTTGGCTTAATAAAATATTGATAATAAGAAAGATACAGGGTGTTAAAAGTGAAATTTCAAAATTTATTTTTCGCAATAACTTTTTTGGACATTTATACAAAAAAATTTGTATCTGGGTTTTTTTTTTGGTATGAGAAATCATAATTTGGTATCTAATTTAATGTACCTTTTAAAGGGCGCCACATAAGCCACATGTGTGGCATAAATGTACGCTAAACTTTTTTGCCCATCAAGGTAGCCCTCTTTTGGGTAAAAAATATTAAAGGCACGGCATTGTATGAACAAAAAGTATACCTGTTAACAACCTTTAAACTTAACGGTTTTCGAGATAATTAAATTTTAAAAATCGAATAACAGAAAATGCTGAGACAATAATTTTTCTATTACAGAAATGAGAGATATGGTTACAATTTACTGCAATATTTCAACGGAGGTGCTGCGAAATGAGAATATTTCAGAAGATATCCAAACAGGCTGCAACCTAATCACCAAACATTTGAAAATCTATTTAGGAATTTTAGGCGAAAGTGGTTCATTTCGTCCTAAACGTGATAATTTAGGTTGACCGAGAATCATTACGCCTGATCAAGAAGATGAAATTGGTTCACGTTGCAGATGATCTTCAAGTTAGTACATGAAGGTTATCTTCAGCTTTAGGAATCAGTAAAACTTCAGTTTTAAAAAGACTAAACCTCGATAAATATCACCCCTATCATTTTGCGCCTGTGCAAATTTATTGCCAGCAGATCTATCATTAAGATACCAATTTGCAAGTGATATCCGAAATAGGCAAAATCTTGACCCCACTACCTTTATTAATAGAATATTATTTACGGACGAGGCAACATTTAGTCGCCGTGTTATTTTTAATTTAAGAAATAATCATATCTGGGACATTGAAAATCCTCATTTTAAAAGAGAAAGACATTTTCAACACGAATTCAAAATAAATGTATGGTGTGGGATCATTTTTTAGGGCCATACGATTTCCCGTGTACTTTGAATGGTGAGAACTACTTTTTACAAAAATACTTCATTGATCTTTTGGAAGAATTACCACTAAATTTCATGCAAAATATGTGGATTATACAAGATGGTGCACCTCCTCATTATATGAGAGAAGTCAGAACATATTTACATACCAACTTTCCTGAACGCTGAATTGGTCGTGGTAGTCATTTCCCATGGCCAGCACGTAGCTCAGACTTTAATCCTCTCGATTTTGGCGTATGGGGCGCAACAAAACATCTTGTTTTTAAAAGTCCCATAAATACTCGCAACCAACATTGGGAAGAAATAAATGCAACTGCAGTTTCATTTAGACCAATCACGTTATTTATTATGAGGACATCTTTTATGGAACGTATGGATAAATGCATCGAAGGGAATGGTGGACATACTTTGACATAATTAAATTTATAATAATAGTTAGCTTACAATAGTTTTTTCTTTTTTTTAATATGTGTAAAATTCGTTTCTAATTATGATTATTAAACTTATAATTTAACTGCTTTTATTTAATTTTTAATATTTTTAAAATTTTTAAATTTTTGATGTCAACTCCTACGTTACGTTAATATTCATCCTGTTGATGTAAAACCATGATAAGCGTATACGACTTCTACGTTAATATTTCTCGTAATGAATTAAAGAAGAATTATGCAGCCGATTTTTAAAATTCGTTTACCTCGAAAACCGTTAAGTTTAGAGGCTGTTAACAAGTATACATTTTTGTTCTTACAATGCCGTGCCTTTAATATTTTTTCCCAAAAGCGCGCTACCTTGATGGGCAAAAAAGTTTAGCGTACATTTATGTCACACATGTGGCTTATGTGGCGCCCTCTAAAAGATACATTAAATTAGATACTAAATTATGATTTCTCATACCAAAAAAAACCCAGATACAATTTTTTTGTATAAATGTCCAAAAATGTTTAAGTTATTGCGAAAAATAAATTTAGAAATTTCACTTTTAACACCCGGTATCTTTCTTATTATCAATATTTTATTAAGGCAAGTTGGCTCAAATCGTAATATTTTAAAGTCACAAATCTACCATACTTCTATGTACAATTAGTTAAGGACCACCCTGTATATAATGACTGCAGAGCAGCTTTAACTACTGCATACTACTTTTTTAAGTATTCTCTGTTCGTGGATCGAATACTTTTACTGGATTCATACCCAGCAATGCTATAAAATGATTATATTAAGCTAACGCTTTAAGCTGTTATGAACAGCAGTAAATTGAATAATGGAAATAACTGAGTTTTCCGAAGGTATTAAGTCAAAAGTGACATACTTATCTGAAATAAACCCAGAATAACTCAGGCAGACGAGTTCCCCCACCACATTTATCGTCCCAATTATTGTTAGCTTCCACAGGTTCTCCTCACACGTGACGTTGAACTACAAGTACTTAATCTCAGTCGTCGCCGGGAAACAAAACGCAAAAAAACTTACGTCTCGCACAATGGTGGTTTCCCGCCTTTGATATACAAACGTGTCACACTTGACTGTCTTATTCTTGGAGGCCGCGGCGGCACAAGTATTGTTTGGCGGGGCGTAACGTGTGCAGCGACTGGGAGATTCTTCTTTATAGGGAACGAATTCAACAAGCCACTTGGGGTTGTACGTCGTTTCGGGGTACGTTTCACATTCTGGGATGTAACATCTGGAACAAAGGAGTGTGTCAGGGGCGTTTCGACTTTTAATTACTTTTCGCTGGATCGCTTTCCCTCCTAAATAAACAACTGTGACCGGGTGTTCGTGTCACGTGACCGCGTTCGACTTTCAGACAGAAACAAGGTGTAAATGTTTATTCTTATATTGACGACCAATCGCAACGGAATTACTAAGGGATTGGGTCTATTCAATTTTCGTGGATGACTAAAATACTCCCTGTAACTTCGTAATGGAGATTGATGAGTTAACCAAAATTTAGCACGACATTGCTAGACTATGTAGAACAATACTTTTCTGTTAAAACCGGCATCTCATGCGGTGAAAACTTGATCATAATGGATTTACTGTTGACGGGACTTATTCAGCTTTCGTGGATAAGTAATGTACACCCTGTAACTTCGTAATCAAGGTAGATTCGTTAACAAAAATTTGATATGACATTGTTAGCACCATGTACAGAGTTTTCATAAATGATTACAAGCCACGTGGCCAGTAATTTTGTTTGAAACTCGAAATGAAGACGGGCCATGGACACATCTTTTACAATCCTGTATCGAACAATTTACGATAGAATTTCCAGTCGCAAACATTGATTATGACATTTTCTTAAACCGAAATGTGCTATTATCAAAAGATTTAAAACTAAACACTGCATTTGCAAAGGAAAATCTACGGATAGACCAACTGTACTTACAGAAAATGTCTTCGGTAATGGACACAACAAATAAATCAAAGTCCTACAACGTCCGTATCAAAGTTGTCTGCTCAAACAGGTTTTTTCTTTGTTAAGTTCGTGGGAATATTCTCAAATTTAGTTTGTCTAAAACATTTTAAATTTTTATTAGAGTTTGAGATTAGGTTGAAGTATTAGGCCAACCAATAGAGATTTTTTGGCACACTTAAATATTACAGCAAATTTCACGTATTACCTTCTGAAAAATACTTAGTAAATGAAAACCCAATTGATTTCCCTAGCAAAGTCGTGAATAATTTTTTTTAAACAATAAAAACTGCAAAAAATTACATTTATTTGTTTTTTTTTATAATATCTCGAAAAATAATGATGGAATCGTCTTACTCTCAGTAGGACTTTTGTAGAGAATAAAAAATCTATAACATGGTTTTTTGTGCGACCCGATCGGTTCGTTTTTTACAGAGAAAATTCGGAAAACCTCTAAAATAGACCTTTTTTCAACTCCGTCAGAAAATTACGGATAATAATATGTAGTTTACATTAGTGTAGTGTAGTAATTGCATTATAAACAAATTAAGGTCTTTTTTGCACTTTTGCACAGCGTGGCGATTTATCAAAAATGGTCCGATTTCAATTCTTGATACGATATCTGAAAGTAGACGACAAAATCTCCAATTTGTATATCTAGGATTTTCGCCTGGGTGATGGGAAATATGCTAAAAATGCCCTTGAAAGTCGACCGAAACGATCGAAGGTACACTCGAGCCACACTCCTCCGCTCGCTGCTTCCCCCACTACCGCGTGGAGTGTACTTTTGATCGTTTCGGGCAACTTTCAAGGGCATTTTTAGCATAACCCAGGCAAAAATCCTAGATATACAAATTGGAGATTTTGTCGTCTACTTTCAAATACCATTTTGAGAATTTAAATCGGGCCATTTTTGATAAATCGCAACGCTGTGCAAAAAAGATCCTAATTTGTTTATAATACAATTGTGCAAAAACTATGCATCGGACAGAAACCATCTTGCGCACGATTAAACTACATATTATCTGTCATTTTCCGCAAGATTGTTTTTCCAGCTTCAAATTTGACGGACGCTATGCTATCGAAAATTCTGCCACAACCGTTCCGGGAAGCGAAAAATTAATTAGTTTAGAATTAATCAGCTTTAAGCCTTTTCAACTTTCGTGGATGGCTAATGTCCCCACGTAACTTTGTAATTAAGATCGATGCTTTAACCAAATTGTGACATAATATTACTAGTACAACGTAGAACAACGCTTTGCTATCAAAAATTTTGCCACAATCGTCTTAGGGGGTGAAAATTGGATTAAATTATAATTAATCAGCTAAAATACCCTCGTAACTTCGTAATTAAGATAGAGACGTATTAAAAACCTCTAATAGCAACTAATTTTTTATTTGACACTAATCTATTATTTTGTCATTATATTTATAATTACAGATGAGTTAATTTATTTGTAAATTATCAATTGTATTTGCTAGTATTAGCAATAGCCATTGACCGGTTCTTCAACACTGAAATAATACTGATTAAAGAGTTTCTGAAAATAACTTTTAAACATTTTTTTTGCGCATTTACAAATTTAAATGCCTTTTTGTTGAAAACGGTTGGCTTTAAAGATAATAGCAAAGCATATCTTTTTTAAGCAGAATAGTTGAGAGAAAAGATTTTTCCAGTCCAAAGTGAAATACACCGTGGCACAAAAAAGTTTTGTCAGTTTAAATGCGTCCTAATGGTTGCTTGTGGCGCCTTCTAAAAGATATGACGAAATCGTCGATGAATCCCAAAAAATCCCCAGAAACGAAATTTCACGAGAAGATATCTTAGATTATGTTTATCTTTACTACCTCTTCAAAAAATGGATGTTTCTCTGTTAGTCGCTTCTTTGTCCACAATATTTCATAATTGTCTTTCTCTTTCACTGTTTAACAAACTGCTGATGTCAAAGGTGTTGATATCCAGTCACACGCATTTCGGTTTCTTCTTTTTCTAGATATTTCACATAATTACAAGCAGCTCCATAATCTGTGTGATAATAGTATGGCTATCATATGCTTATGAACTGAATGCAGTTATAAATGCATTTTCACTTGCCATTAAGAAGCAAACATTCCGTGTCCATATCTGGAACCTCAATTTGCATATCTTGACCTTCTATATTAACACATATTAGATATTTTTCTTTTCCATCCATACTTAAAAAATGAGCTTATAGATATACTAAAATTATAAAAGTGTTGAACAAACGCAAAATGAAAATACATATGAGGTTATGATTATATCAAAAATTGACATTTGCATAAACGAGCAAGAGAGACAGAGAACAATAATTGAGCTTCCGACTTGAGTATTTGCCGGTTATAAAATTTCAAACTCATGACATCACAAAGGGCTTTTTCATGACGTCACACTATGGTACGAAATATCTAAAAGGTGTCCAAAAATGAATTTTTTAAGTATCAGGTTGGTAATAGGGATAGTTGGGCTATTCAGGAATCTAATTTTGTCAATTATTTTTTAATGATTAATGAAGTAATGATTAACTGATGATTTAATCAAGTAATAAATTAATTGATTAATTCCATTTATTTCATATGAATCATAAAATAAGGGAAATTATAATATGTAGGTATGTCTGTAATGCAGAAATGTCTGTTTAAGAATAATAAATTTATTAATTAATAAATAACTTAAATGAAATATTATTAAAAGTTAATTAAATTAAAATTAAAATATTATTAATCAATAAGTAACTTATTAAAAATAATTAATTTATTAATTAATAGCCTGTGGACATAAGTAATTGATTTTCAAACAAACGAAGATCCATATATTTCTACTTTGCGAGGAGACAGAAGCAAATTAAATAACTGACTGACGATGCAAGATGTTTACCAGACAGTATTTCAGATTTTGACGAAGATGACAATTCCTGCGGTGACTCGGATGAAAGTGATGAATATTCAACAGAATAACATGATCAAATGACGAATTTTTAAGATTTATAATTTTTCTGCTTTATAATAAATTGAATTTTCGCATAATCAGTGCTGTTAAAAACCCCAATATATCCACTTCCGTTAGTTTATTCCACTTTTGTTAAATTTCATCCACCATATTAGATCAGCCATTTAAAATTTTTCAGTTTCATTATAAAATTCGTAATCAGTGTTGTCAAAAAACAGGAAAAACCTATTTTTTTTCAGTTTATTCGACTATTTTTAAATTTAATCCGCCATATTGGATCCGCCATTTTGAATTTTTCAATTTTAATATCAAATTCGTAATAAGTTAGATCAAAAACCACAGTATACCCACTTTTGTACAATTTGGAATGAATTTTTATGTTTGGCCATACCTTTTAGGCATTTCGTACCATAGTTCATGATGACGAATTTAACGTTTTTAACCAAATGACTATGGTAAATACTATTTACTATCGGTAGTTACTGGTAATTCCTTTGAAATCGGCAATAGTAGGATGGAGTTTTTTCTTTAATATTAGAGGAATATGTTGGCTGTACCATATTTTCAATATCCGCTATTTCTTGTAGATGTTGAAGCATTACCTTCCTCGTACAATTGATTTTTGATGAGAGACGTCAACAATAAACTCTTGAATACCTACAATAGTAAATTTTTTTAGGAATCGCTAGTGTACTATTCTATATTCGGTGAAATACTTATTACTGTCGTTTTGCGCTGAATAGATCTAATGTTTCTATAAGGATATCGTAAATCAATAATAATTGATGTCTGAACGAGAAATTTTACAACAGTTATATTTTTCATAACATTTCTAAATCATCTTTCCACGACTATATTATGGATTAAAATATATAAATAAATGTATCCGTTGGTTTAGTTTAAGTGTAAATAATTGAACAAATGTCCGCATCAGAACCACAACTTCTTGAATTTTACACTACAGAACAATAGTATGACAAGCAGCAGTCAATATTTGAGTTTATAATGATTGCATATTTTATTGGATCTACGATCTCCAACTCCAATATCACATTCATATCTCCCCATGTTATGCATTCCTCTGAAATTTGTTCTACATCGAGTTTGATCAGACGGAGGGAATTGTCAAAGTTTCCTTCACTTTCGTTGAAGTTCATATATGCTCTGAACTTGGAGTAAACGTATTGAAATATTCGTTGTTTACACAGTAGATAGTTAAAACACATTAAAGGGATAAATATACCTTCCCTTACTGACAATCATGCCACAACATAAACAGAGACCTGAATTGAATGAAATT